ATGAACCCAGGAAGCACATACTGCCCACAACTTATGGAAACAATCAATTCCATTCAGTCTGTTCTGCCTCTACTGCCTTGGAGTATGACCTGGGCAAGCCACAGGAGAAGCCAAATCATTCCAAAACCTCCTTTAGAAGGTAAATTTTCCTTCTTCCAAAAATTAAGCTGCTGCTCATTACAGATGACAACTAACTGCACACATGTAAATCACACCCACTGTTAAAGCCCTCTTGCCTTCCTGAAACACTATACCATGGCAGTCCAGTCACATGCAGGGGCAGGCACCTAATAAATATTGTGTGATGTAGAAACCTGTTAAGATGAATTTTCTAGGTTCCAAGAAAAGCAGAAAAATAAACCCAAAAACTTGAAATCCAGGAACTGAAATAAATTTATTTTTTAACTAATTTTGAATTTATGATCTTTTGGGAATGCACTAAGCTGAATTTACTTCTGCTATTTTTTCAAAGCAAATCAACAGCATAGAGATTTCAGAAGGGATATTTATCTCAATAAACAGAATAAAATTATCCTATAAATAGAAACTTAAAATATAACTGATGAACGAATTGAAATCAAGTTTACATTCTCATCTAAATACATACCCCACTCACTTTAACCAGGAAACAATTCAGAGAAACATGAGCTCACAGAGCTGGAAGGGATCTTAGGACCATCCAGCCTAATTCTCTTGTATTATACACAGCATTGGTCTTTCTCTGCCTGACTCACTTCACTCAGCATAATGCCCTCAAGGTCCATCCGTGTTATGGCAAATGGCAAGATTTCCTTGGTTCATGGCTGAATATTATACACACACATACATATATGTAGTATAGAGAGAGACCACAGGGCTGTAAACAACCCCCCCTCCCCCACTAGTTCTCTTTCTGAAGCATCCTAATACAGTACTAAACCACCTGTTAGCTCTAGGAAGGAAGAAAGTGGTGTCAGTGGGTATGACAGACACTGCCAACTGGCTAACCGAATGCCACTCTCAACTCCCCTTCTCCCTCACCTTCCTCCAGCACGAAGGCTGAAAAGTGAAAATCCAGTGTCCTCCCCTCTTTCAGAACTAAAAGTCATCACATAAACAGTTCTGAACAGTAAGATGTAGGTGGAGATCCTAGGAGGGCTTCCCTTTGTTCTCTGTTTTTTATTACCTCTTCTTTTCCATGTCTAGAGCTTGGACACACTGAGTAGGGGGTGGGGCCAGCAGTTATCCTGGGACTCATGAGGACAAAAGGCACAGGCTAGGGATGGCTGAGAAGCAAGACAGAAGGATTCTGGGTCTGTAATGAGATCTCTGAGAAGTAGTTCCTGTCTTGGGTTGTAGATTCTCCAGGATTCTTGAAACAAAAGCAAATATACTACACCTACTAAAGTCAGTTATCTGTTATTTGTAGCCAAGCCCTTTCCAAATATACAATTTTAGCCAGATTTCAACTATAACAATAAACCAAAAGTGAACATGACCCCAATTTTAATAAAATACAAGCACCTATTTGAGAAATTTTTGAGGGTCTGCCATAGAGATGTCACATAAGAGGCACTAAATCCAAAATCCGTCCCATTCCCAAGCAAGGATGTGGGTGGGAAGCTAGCTTGCTGCCGGACATTCCAGGTTAGTCTGGGGAGAAATCCAGGGCATCCCCTATGATTCCTGTTATGCTTTTGAGAGGCAAAAGCCTAATGCTCAAGTAGATGGAATCATGGGAAACTATTAGTAGATCCAACTTTTCCCATTTAATTCACTTATTTCTAAAAGTCCTTTTTAACAGAAAACTGATCATGTTCACTGATCCCTACACATCATTAGAATGAGCTCATGGGCCTTTCTCATGCAGTGAAACCAATAACCTCTCTCCATCAAAGCTGGCACCAGAGGTCACAGAAAGTTATTATATAGAAGAAGGGACACTAGGTTTAGTCAAAAGGTCTGGATTTGAGACCTGTTTAATTCCTATGTTCCCTCTAGACTCTCAGCTCCATGGATCCTTACCTGAGATTAAACCTCATTGCTTGGTTGGTGATAAAAGTTCCAGTAAGTAAATATATGCAGCACTGTGATTATTTTATTTACTTCTGTTTCCTACTATGTACTGACGGTCATTTATTTTTGGATTAATGGAACAGAAGCAGAATTCTCTGAAACATAATTGGATATCACCTGGGAGGGCCTTCAAGCTGATTCCACACAACGTACCTTGTCTTGGGTTTGGCATCGGACACAGTCACATTCAAAACAGTACTGGTCCCTCAGCTGCTTCCGGCGCTCCTCACTGGTCATCAGCATGTCCAGGTAGCAGATGGTGAGCTGTGGAGGCCAGAGAGAAAAGAGGCCACATGGCTATTGTGCTCATTTTCTTTAACAAATGATTATTATTACTATTGCTAATTATTCCAGTAAACCTATTTTTATTACACACCGAAAAGTTTAAGAGGAGACACTACTCATAGTGTCTCCATCCAAATAATCACGTGTAAAATTTTTCTTGCGATACCTTCCAATCCTTGTTTTGTGGTGAGCACATATATTTATTTTAAAGCACTGGGCTCATTAACTCTACACACTTTTATACCTTACCTTTTATTTACTGGACAGTAAAGTACCAAGAGCTGTTACATGTTCAGTATTACTAAGTTTGGTTAATAAATTATGTAATCACTGGTAATCAGAGAAGCCAAAACAATCCTGGCAATCAAACGGGTGGCAGATGAGGTGGCCAGATTGCTTTTAAATCCCAGTCAGTTCTCTACCTGCCTCGTGGAACTCAGGGGCAACCAGACTTTGTACCTTTGCAATTAAGAGACTGTTTTCTTCCTTGTGGCTAGATTCAAAAGCAAAGTGGAATAAAACATCAGGAGGATTTGATATCAGGATGCAATCACGGATGGATGCTCTTAAATTGACTTCCTTGGACCCTTTCAAATATAGTAACTATGCCCTGTCCTGGAAGGTGAAAGGTCACAGGTGAGAAGGCGCATTTCAGGTTCCTCTCTAGCCCGAAGAGTTCACTTCAAGATACAGGTCTTCAGGTAACATCATGGTGTTTACACATTTCTCACTTGACTAGATCTCCTAGGTGCTGAAAGTCTAATTCAAAATATACAAAATTGAACTCCTGATTCCTCCACCCATGGCATCTCAGTTGGCGCCTTCCCAACCTCAGGTGACAGTAATTCACCTTTGGTGTTAACCAACCTGAAATCCTGGCATCACCCCTGATTTCTCTTTCCCTCACACCCCCATCCAACCCACCAGGAAATTCTGTGGGCTCAACTTAGGAACATATCCAGAACCAACCACTTTCTGCCTTTTCCAATGCTGCCATCCTGGTCTGAGCCACCATCATCTGCTGCCTGTAAAACTCAAGTCTCACAGCTGGTCCCACTGGTCCCCCTGCTTCCCCCTGGCCCCTGCACTCCCTCCTCTCCCCTGCTTCCCCTTGGCCCCCTGCACTCCCTCCTCTCCCCCTGCTTTCCCCTGGACCCCTGCACTCCATCCTCTGAAGATGCCCTGAAAACAGAAGTCAGGGCAGATCTTCCCTCTGCTCCAACCCTCCAACATTCCCCCTTTGCTTAGAGTAAAGGTCAAGTGCTCAGGGAATCCCCACAACTCAAAGTGTGCCTCCTGGCCAACTCCTGGTCCATGCTGTCACTAGTCTACCATGCAATAAGAAAAGAAAAGCAAAGTTAACATTTACAACCTTTATGGCAATTTGGTAAGAGGAATTTTCTGTGCCTCTCATAATAAAACCCTGGGCTTTTACTTTCTACGTTGTTGTTTTTCCAATTTTGTTTTCTGAGTAATCCATTTTCATGAAATTCCACAAAAATATTAGTCTGCAATGAATTAGGGGAAAACTGCCCTTCGTAACAGGTAGTGAGGGGAGCAGGGCCTCACAGTCCCACTGCAGCCACTGGCTCCTCCTGCCTTCACACTTGCTCCCTCAGGGCCTGTGCACTAGCTGGTCCTCTGCCGTCCCCCACATCTCCAGTGGCCTCCCTCATCTCTTTTGAGTTTCAATCAAATCTCATTCTCACTGAGGTCCAAACCAACCACCCTATTTAGAGCCACCATCTACTCCCCCCCACCCCAGTACTCCTAACTAACTCCCTCACACCTCTCTGGTTTTTCTTCTTCTGGGCCATACTGTATCCATTCCTCCGATTTGCTTTTACATGCAGAGCATAATTATGGGGGTGTACTGGCGGGGGAGAAGGGGATACTGCAGGAGGGGAAGGAGGTGGGATTAGCCACTGGGGCAGATGACAGAAGCTCCCTGGAGCAAAGCACTCCATGTGGTCTTTCTCAGGCTTAACGGAAGGTATCTCAGGGCCATGCAGCATGATCGGGCTTGTCTGACAGTGTGGCAGGGCGGAGAAGGCCATCCTCTTTGACAGAAAACACAGTGAGGCTTTGGGGGCCTCACTATCGCAGGCAGAGGGCAAGGGGGCTTGGTGGCCAGCCAGAGCTGTCAAATCCCCCACGGCCCTCACCAGGGTGACAGGAGCCACAGCCTCACCTGGCTGGCTGGCTTTCTATGGCTCCTCATGTGTCAGACAACAAACATGCTGCTCCACACACAGAAGCAGGAGTACCTCCCGCTTAAGAAATGTAGACAGTGGCATTGCAGAACCTCTGTTGTGTGCTGGGCACTCACCCAGACAGGCAGCACGAGACAGTGCAAACCAGCAGCGGTATCGATCCACCTGGGATTTGCACCCACCTCTCTGATTCAAGCCCCAAACACTTCTTACAAGAGTACAGCTGCTTCTCATGCCTCTGGGGGCTGCGGGAGACTAGCTTCTTCAGGAGCCATACCAGCACCTTCAAACCTAGAATACTCAAGCCTGTGCTAAGCACTGCTCTGTGGCGACTGGGTTCCTTCAGCTGACACCACAGCCGCTTGCTAATTTCCTAAATCTTTCTTTTGCTTCGCAATCTGAAGCCAGGGCTGACTCTGAGGTGCAAAGGCATAACAGGCAAGCTCCTCTTGTTTAGGGCGAGAACGAAATCCCAAATTCCAAATAACCAATTTCTAAACATACTTTTAAAAACAGCCTGCTAGTAGGTTTGGGGCAGCGTACACATCCATCTTCTTTCACCAGGCTCTCAGGTCCTCCATCTCCTTAAATGAGGTGAGAAGGCAGAATGAGCTGATCTGTGTTCCCTCTTGGCTTAACTCTGTAACCGTAATTCTCAATCCAGCCCAATGGCTCTTAGTCATCAGCCCCAGTTATCACATCAGATCAATTGGCAGTACTTACTGGGTCATTACAATGTGCCCAGTGTGAAGCCAACCAATCTGGGACATACCACACTAGAGAAATATGCTTGACTCACCCAAGACTTTCCTACAAGGGCCAAAGCTCATGTGTGATCATGCCAGGCAGTGGAACGGCAACAGGAGACTAGTTATTTCATTTAAGCCCAATAAACAGACTCTCAGAGCCTCCCTCGCCATCCTGGAACCATTACCAGGACTATGAATGGCTTTCTAACTGGCCTCCCTGCTGCCTTCAGTCTCACTTTCATCTACTAAACTGCTCTGAGACGGATCTTCCTAACGCTCACACCTGATCATGTCATTCCTCCACAGCAGATTTCTGATGGTTCCTCCCTGCCTACAGAACAACGGCACACATGGGCTTCCCAGCTCATGTTCTGTCTGCCTTTCTGGCCTCAACACTTCTCCGTACATCCTACAGCCTGTCACAATTAGGTTGCTTAACCACGTGTACAATGCCCGTGTGCACCACGCATCCCTGTGTCAGGCAGCCAAGCCCTTTCCCCCACTCGGCCCACTCAGAACTCTCCCATCCTTCAAGTTGGGCTCAAAGATGCCTCTTTCAATGATGACTGCCCCATTCCCCAGGCTGTTCCTCTTTCGTGGCACTGAAGTTCGCAAAATATACTGTATCGGGGCTGAAGGTCTCAATGGCAAAAAACGTCTTTATACATATGTGGGGGGAAATACGCATAGCCAGATTACTAACTGGTTAAATCATTTTATCAGCCAAAGATGAAAACTTTTACTAAAGACTCACAGACTCACCAGTTTTAATGGAGAATCTGCTCACTAAATGTAGGGCTCATTTAACGGGAACACACATATAAAACTTTGCCATTGATCAGTAGATGCTTTAATGGAACAGAACCAAGTCACATTAAAATATTAATGCCACTGAAAACTGCTTCGCCACTTTAGTGCAACAGTAGAGTAGTATCGTGAAAGTATTTGCTGGATAGTGAATGCGCTGCTTACTTGAAAATTTCAAGGCAAAATGAACCCCTTTTTCATAAAGCCCATCTTTTCATCATGTACGACTGCGTGGATAATCCGACCAAATTAAAGAGAGACTTTGTTTTCATTATGGAATTATGCTGTCACAATTACAAATTTTTATGCTAATACTGGCTCTGAACTGAAAAAAGACTGAAAAATCTCAGTTTTTTTAGAAGTCAAAGCTGAGTGTTATTCTTATCTCTCCTCTTTATTATGCCCTCGTCACAGCCATTCAGTGATTCCATGATCAAATCCTGCTCATTTAAGCTTCTATATATGACATTCTTCAGACCCATCACAGGCCACACCTGAGTCCCGATGCTGGGCAGAACTATTTTGTGTTGAGCAAGAGGAAGGGTTTGCTTGTTGCTCCAGAGATGGAAGGAGAAGGGCGTGAAAAATTAAGATAAACACCAAAAGACAAGGTGTGTCTGCATCTAAATAAAAACCAATCAAGGAGGGTGCTTGGTATCCAGTCTAGAAAATAAGATATAAGAATATTTCTTTGCTGTTTCTGAAAAGTCTAACCATTTCTAACCTTGATAAGCAAACAGAATTTTAAAAATAATTTATTAAAATAACACTATCAGCATCATCATCATAATCATGATTATCAATGGCAGCAGCCATCCCTCAACTCATTGATGAAAATGGACAGTGGTTCCCTTTCTTACCTGTCTTGAAGTCATATATGGGCCCCAGAAAACAATTTCAATTCCCCATATTGTTGACAGGTATCCTGAGTACCTAGTCCTGAAAACTGGAAATTCAAGAAGTGACTGTTTAAGCGACAGCTTATTCAGTTGAAAATCAATTTGGAGGGAGTGTTATCAAAGCCAAATCCTTGTTTACATAAAATATGGTACCTCTGAGTTTAGGCTTTATTGGCTGAGTGCTGCATAAATGCAATAAAATCTTATAATGTTCTATTTTCCTTGCAATAAACATCCACTTTGTAGATTGCAAGGCAGAAAGAAACTGGCTTCTGTGCAGTGTCCATACCTACAACCCAGAATTCGGGGTCATAATTGTGCAAACCCTGCACAGGCTCAAGTCAGCAGCCCTGGAGCAGCCCTTCTGAGAAGGTTCCTCATCTAAAGAGGCTGCCTGGCAGTCCACAAAACTGAAAGAGTCAAGGCCAAGTCTCTGCTGGACATCACGTCCCCTGCGTGTACTCCCTTCACATCTTTGCTTGAACAATCTCCCAGATGAGCTGATAGGTTTGTAAAGGCCCAATGACAACCTAGAAGAGTAAAGCGTATTTGCTTTCTTAATACAAATGAAATTGAGTTACCATCAAAATGTGATGAGTGGCCTTGGGAATAAGCAAGCCCTTGATCTCATCCGACAGAAGGAAGAAGACCAGCTGCAGAAATGTTAGGCCACTAAGTTGTCATATGTTCAAAACACGTACACTGTCACACACACACCTGTCTCACACACACAATAGCAACTGTCATCATCCAGAAAAATGGTGATTAAAAAACTGTTGGCCCATCTATGATCTGGGAGGTCACAGTGAGTGGGTTGCTGGGTTGAGGTATTATATGTCTTCCTTGGCAGAGGACAATGGAAAGGTGTCCTTTGGGCACCACTGGTTTAGGGAAGGGCCACTCTGAGAAGGTATGTGATGGAAAGGGGGGGTAGTGGGTTCCTTACCTCCTCTCCGGCCTCAATGTCTCGGACGGCTCGCAGTAAGAGGTGGGGCCCGTTGAACACAATCGAACAGTTGGGGTCACAGCTGTGATTGAGCAAAGACATACTGGAGGGGGGAAAAAAAGAGGGAGATCATCATGGCTCAGCAGAGAGTCAAACATCTACATTTTATTAATGGGTAAAAGACACTTTAGCTTGTGGGGAGGGCAGATGAGGCTCACAGCGCACCAGGGATGGAGTCATTTGGGGACACTCACGGAAATGTCACTAGCCCACTTCATAGAAACTGAAATGCTCCCCAAGATGGAGGCTAATGGGGGAAGTTTGTTAATAAAGTCATTTTCTGAGTCCTTTTAGGGGGGTGAGGGTAGGGAGGAGGTAGTCGTCTCATTCAATACCAGGCAATAAGACAACTCAATACAAGGACGGGAGAAAGAAATAATCTCTGAGACAGATAATGGGATGCGACAGTAGTCACTGCAGCCAGCACAGCACTGACCTTCCCACACAGGACCTCATTTGCTCAGCTCCTTTGGAGGAGCGGCCGCCTCTGCTAGAACAGCCGAAGCTACAATGAAGAGTAATTAGGAGTTCTTCCTCTTAAATAGAAAGTAAGGTTATCTTGCTAACTAGGTCCCAGTGCATTCTGGGCCATGGCCCAGTGATTTTCTCACCTTGCAGGTGCCATCTGGGAAATGGAATGGATTTAAGCTCCCTCCATATTTGACAATAATTAGAATAACTGTGAGCATTTACTATGTAAAAAGCACTTTCTTAGCAGTTGAGCATGTTTATCAAATTTAATCATCATGATCATCTTATGAGGGTCATTTACAAATAAAGACTGATACATGGAAGCTAAGTGACTTGCCCAGGGACACAGAACTAGTAAGTGGTCACTGAACTTGCACCACGTGCTCTGAGCTCAGAGCACACGTGCTCAGTCATTCATTCTATGTTACTGCTTTCTGAGCACCAGCACCAACAGCCCTGCAGTCTGACACTTGAGAGATGTAAGAGAAGCAGCGGAATTCTCAGGTTTACAATTAATTATAAAAAGACTACATTTGAATTTGGACCCTACCAGCATGAAAACTAGGAGTGATGGGAGAGCTTGTGGAAGGACAGACTAGGAGCTTGGTGATAAAGTCACGTCAGTGACAGTAGCATTCTGGCCTCCTGGAGCAACGGGTTCAGGTATGAACCCAGGTGGTGCAGTCCAGCGGGTCTGGAGAAAGAATCAAGGGCTCGGGCCGAGGAGGCTGGGGAGTGAGAGCACAGCCGGGATGAGGGGGATAAGCAACCCTCATCCTGACGGTTCAATAGCACCCACAGCCCCCAACTTCTAACCCAGAGTTCCTGAGAACAAGAACTTAGGCCTGAGGCCTGCCTCTCTGCTAATACCACAGTGCACAATGGTCAACCATTTTCACCCCTTGGCACACATAAACTGACTACAAAAATTCTGCGGCACACCAAAATATATATTATACCTTTTGCTAATCTGACAAAAAAATAAGTATAATTTAGATTCAGTCACACCAGATGGCTATTGTTATGTTGGCTGTTGTCAATTTTTTATTTGACAACCTAAGGGCAAAGAGGTCAGTGCCCCTGACTACAGAGTAAGGTATTGCAGGTTTTTAAATTCTTGCAGCACGCTGGTGGAAAATCGCTGCCACAGCATATAACATGGGGTTATAAAATTGTTTTCTTTAAATATTTTCCATTTTCTTCTTAATTATCATCAGGTTTCAAGCCTGGCTCTCGAACTAGCTGCTGCAATTGCCTTTTTAATTCCCTCCAAAGGGCTGGGGGGCTGGGAGGGAATTACAGTTGTTTCTTCCAGTAAATGAAATACCATCCACCATACCTAGGATATAGGCCAACACCGACTTCCTGCATCTCTGCGTTACAGATGGTGAAAGAATTGCAGATCACCTGTAAAAACAAGGGGACAATCGGGATTATCAGAGTCACCTAAGAAACCTCACAGGCAAGAGAACAAAATTGTCAAAATAAAATGTAGGGGCCTTTTAGTAGCAGCTTTGGAAAGATCCAAGCCAAACCTGGATGCTCTCTCATTTGCAAAAGAACATACCCAGGAAGCACTTTCTTTAAGGCTATCAGAGGGTTAAGTACAGAAACAGCAACATCCTATAAAATATGTCAGGCTTAAACCAGCACAGGGCCTATGAATTTCAGTCTGTTCCTCCGCAGCTACCTAAAATGTTCAGAATTCAGAACATAAATATCTATTTATTGAGAAGTAGACTCCTACCAAGACAGACTTTTCACTCAAATTGCCTGTGGTTTCCAAATGCCACTGTATATCTGAGGAGTAACAGCAGTCGGTCTTTTGGTCCCAAGTGCACCCTGAGTAAGTCTGGGCACCAAGTGGTGACAGCCCACAGCGAGCATAGGAAGTCAGTCAGTCAAGGCAAGGCATTTATGAGCCACACGGAACCCCTCACTGAGTCTACAGCACAGTCCTATACTCCAGGGGGAGGTGGGCAAAAGAAATAAAAATGCAATGGCTGAGCTCAAGGAACTTAAAACCTATGGAAGGCCACACAGAACCATGGAAAGAACACTAGACTTCGAACCAGGAAAATCTAGGTCCTGGCCACATGTCAATGCCTTAGGCAGGTGTTGGGGATAGAGCAGTGAAGAGAAAAAAAATTCCTGCCTTAGTGGAGCTTAAGTTCTAGTGAAGGAGACAGATAAAACTCAATGACAGAAACATGTTACATGTGGATAAATGCTAAGAGAGAAATGAGGTAAAAGCACAGAAGACAAAGTGCTCCGGAAAGCTCTTTAGGAGGTGACATTTTAGCAGAGACCCAAGGGAACTGTAGAAATGAGCACTTCTATCTAGGTGATAAAAGTTCATGCCAGGAGAAAGAGCAAGTGCAAAGGCCCTGAGGTGAAAGGCTCCTGGGTAACAAGTAACAAGAGGAAGACAAGTGTGGCCCAAGCAGAGCAGGTAAAAGGAGGGGTAAGAAGACTGAAGGAATAGTTTTTTTTGCAGGAAGGAAGTCCTATGGTTTTGTTGCAGTTATGTTAAATTTGAAAAGGCCTAGTAGACATCCAAGACTGAGAAGAGCAACTGGACTCCAAGGGAGCAGTCAGGGCCGGAGACATAAACTGAGGAGAAAACAGAACAAAGCCCATCGAGGAGAAAGTGGAAGGGGCTGCTACAGAATAGGGGGGACAGTGATATAAATGGGCGCTGACTTGTTATGAAGTTTCTGTAAAGCAAAGAGCAGCAACAACAAACTTCGCTAAGTCAGGCTGATAGGAAAGGACGTAAAGTATAAAGAAGCGCCGAGTCCTTTGAGACTTCCACTGCTCCAAAGAGCTTTGCTGTGAAATCTAGTGCAACCTATCACAATTTGGCATTTTTCCTCCAAAAGTCAGGCCAGACTGCAGTTTCAAATCAGGATGTAAATTGGTGTACATACACATATTTTAAACACACTAAATTGCTTTAAGGGCATCTGTTTCATATTAACTTAAAACAGCGTACTGCCTATCCATGTTTATGTATGAAGTCAATGGTAAAAATACAGGACCAAAAAGTCCTATTTCTTTTTGAAACTTTTAAAAATGGGGATGAATTTTTGGGGGGTGGGATATCAATTTTAGGACATATTTTTAAAATGTAATCAGGAATTTACCTGAAGCAATCTGCCAATGAAAAATCAAGTTAAAGAGATCCAATTTGCTAACTTCCGAATTAAATGAAAATTGAATTTTTTTCTTAACTGTGAAGCAAATTAAAGGTTTTTACAAAATAGGTTTATTGTGACAGATTTTTTTTAAAGAAAGACCTAAAAACGGAAATGTCCACGTGGCTATCTCTTCCCCCAGGAAACGTGACTTTTTCCTAACGTCTTTCGCAGCATTTATCACACTGAATCCTTATTTACCGTTTACTTGACACACACACGACTAGGCTGTGCAACACTCAGAAGGCAACGACAGTGCTTCCTTCACCACGATTCCGTGTCTGCCCCATGATTGGCACACAGAAGTGGATAATAACCATTGTTTCTGACGGATGGAGGGTTCCACGGATGTGGTTCCAGTGAGCCCGGAGGTTCATCATCCAGAACAGGGTCAGAGAAGATGCCAGAAACCAAACACAGGTCCTGTGAGCAGATGGAGGGAGGTCTGGGCCATGAAAAGGAGTAGATAACCTCCCGTCTCCTGTCCTGAGGCACCCAGTCTTTGCATGTCCCTGCTCAGACCTCTGCCCATCCTTTCCCTCCATTCAATTTTGTTTCATTCTCTTTTCCATCAGTTCAATGGATGGGATGACAATTTCATCCGTCAAGAGCACAAGGGCTAGTTTGATTCTCTGCTTAAAATTCTCAGAGCCTCACCTGAATGGTGTGGCTCAGTGGCTGAGCATCGTCCCATGAACCTGGAGGTTGTGGTTTGATTCCTGGTCAGAGCACATGCCCGGATTGGGGGCTCGATCCCCAGCAGGCAGCCGATCAATGACTATCTCATCATGGATGTTTCTCTCTCTCTCTCCCTTTCCCTTCCTCTCTGAAATCAATAAAAACATATTTTTAAAAAATTCCGAACCTCATGCATTGGGCACAAAATAAATATTTGCAAATGGATAAATGAATAAATGATAGTCCCCAGGTTTCTCTCCTTCCCTGTCATGTCTCTTGCATCTTTTCCTTTCAGTCCTCTCTTTCTTTCCTTCTTTCATCATCATCAACCTGCCTCATCTCATTCTGCCCCACTCTACAAAATGAGTGGGAGGTTTTAAAGTTTTATTTTATAAATTCTAGACAAGCTCCTCATTTGTATTATCCTGAGAGGAGTTATGTGCTCGTGTTCCTGAGCTAGTGAATAAAAATTTAATTTTTTGCCTACTCCCACGTTCATGAAAAATACTGGTTCCACTCAGCACTATCAGAATTAAGAAAATGATGACAGGGAGTATGTTGGACATACATAGCTGATAGCAGTGGTGGATACGAGGTAGCTCTCGGGTTTTTTCCTTTTTAAATGAAAGAACAGGTAAATAATATATCCATGTATACTCAAGTGAAAATGTGAAAAGAATTGCTCTTTAGACCAAGAAATAGAAGAATGAAAATACAGCCCAGAAATAAGAAGAATGTTCAGGATACAGAACTTTGGACACAGAGAGCTTATTAATTAGAGGGACTGAAGGTAAATTTTCAAAAGGAAAACTTACTGCATTTAGTTTCATTAAGCTCTGTGGACAGAAGGAAAGGAAGTAGGAAGAGTTGGCAGGTGTGAAAACCAAAAGGAGAGGTTTTCATACAAAATAACCATCCCTCCCCATGACTCCTAGAGCTAATAATTCTCTAACTTTAAGAGCACAGTAAATGTTTTAGGCAGGATGTATTATTTTCTTCTCATGGAATGTAACATTGTATGAACACAGAATTATCTTTCCAGAATCTTCTCATAAACCTTAAGAGATTCAAAATTTTATCTCCTGGTCCCTCCTATCTTCAGGGCAAATATTTTCCTATCTTTCACGACTCAAATCAGGCCCCTGCTAATACCCCTGCCCCTCCTCTGCTCGCTCATTTGCAGTCTTTCCTAGCCAGCCCTGAGAACAAAGGTTTTGCAATCTCCACCCGAAGAGCAATGGGAGGGAGGTCAGCTCAGGAGTGCGGACGCAGCGTTTTGCAAATGACAAAACCACAACTCCCAGGTTTTGCACAAGTGCTTCTAGAAGGTTCACAGGGATGGTTATGGCATCTGTTCATCTTCAATTAAAAAAAAAAAAATCAATAAATAAAACAATTACTGCAATATATTTTCCTTTTTCAGGAAGTAGCTGGAGAGCCTCCATGTTGTACCAGTGAGCAGGCCTGAAGGCGATGGGGCAGCTGAGCTCCCCTGCCAGCCTGTGGTGCTGGGACATTACAGAGTTTTCCAGCGTTGCTCAGTCAGATGCTATTTCATTTGCAAACCTAATGGACCACTGGTTAAAGGCAGTAAGCAAAAATGCTAGGGGGGAAAAGGTGAGGAACATAAAAATGTTAATTCTCTGCATTTCACTCAAGATGCTCCATATAATGACTTTTATCTGGTTGAAATTCTTACATAGCACCTCAAAACGTCTCTAGTATTTAGAAAATGTTAGAGAGAAAACATATGAGTATATAATCTTAATTTTAGCAGATGGCACAAAAACAATTAAGTCTCCATTGTGTTGTTTAAAATGTGCTTGCACCTAAGCCATCTTCTCTCTTACCTCGTCTCTTAAAGAGCTCAAAAATTATAAAATCTAATCTGGCCTGTTTCTTAAAGAGTAAATTATAAGAATGGTAAACATCAGGTCATGAGAGCCAGTTACTATCTGAAGCCCAAACCAAAATTACTCATTTAAAAATAATGTTTTGGGGGGCTACAAAACTAATCTAAAGCAAACTAAACCATGTCACAACTTGTTAAATGGGAAAAATTTAAATTTCTCTTTATATTACATGAATATTATTTAATATTTTGCAAATGTACTTTATAATATAAACTAAGTAAAAAAATGAAGTAATCTTACAGAAGACTTCTTTATTCATCCCATTTAACAATATACCGGGAAATGTGCTGCCTAGAGCCTGCTACATCCCAGTGCTGTCTATGTCCAGACCTGCAATAGTGCCTGTCATATTTCAAGCTGTGGTCACAAACAGTGCACATCAGACATACAAAATGCTCAACAATGACTCGCCAAAGCTAAATCAATACCAAGGCCAATATCCTAAGCGAGGGAATAGCAATCATAAAACTGTGCTTCTTATTTTATCTGTCCCAAGGTCCAACAACCAAATGCAGCACATGAGGCTTCACAGAATGAGGCCCTTTTAGATAGCATGCCTGCTCTCTAAAACCCACCAGCGTTTTCATTTTTCTAAGGGCTCTGCCTACAGCTGGACTTA